ATATCATAAATTGAAAATCTAAAATATTATAAATTGCAAATCTAAAGTTGGACAATATTTGTTTTATCACTTAGAATACATTCAATACCAGCAAACTTCGATTCACAAAATTTATTATTTATTTTATATGGTGCTCCAAAGACGTGTTAACATTTACATGGAAAATTTGTACATATATTTTCTTTTCTTCGAAAATATGATTGAAGTAATACAATTTCAGCAATGCCAAATATAATCCTCAGTCTCTTCGCTACTTCGCTAATATGTAAAGTATGAATCCATGGTCTTGTTGCTTTACAGTTTGTAATGTGTAAAGTGTTGAATTTGTGATTGATTGTTTAGTGTTCAGTTTAGGCAGTTGAATTTAGTTGTGTTGAATGCACACAAACAGGATTATTGACACTGCAAAACAGTTTCCTACAGGATTGTTCAGGAAGTTGAGACAATTATGAAACAGCAAACAGAATATCTGGAAATCAATTAGGGAAAATTAAAATGAAAGAACTTAATCAAATACTAATCTAAGAGTATTTTATTACAAAAATATTCTGTAACATAATGTTACAATTTCTGCTCCGACAAACATAGAATGGGACCATACAAACGTGTACCTATCAATGTTAATTTAATCATAGGCTAAGATAATACCACGAGGTATAATTTAAAAATTAGGAATTTTTGAAGCTGAAGACAAGGAGGCAACAGAACCGCTTAATTAACTAATTTCACTTTTTCGAGTAGAATAAAATTCAAGGCTCAACGAAGGCGTAAAGTTTCTGTGGATTAAAAGCTTTTAATTATCTTAATGATGGTAGAGATCTTTCAACAAGTAAATTAATCCCTTTATAATTGCATATTTGATATTCTCCTTGTCTGTACAGGCAGGAATCTGAATTTAACAAATTAATATTAAATAAAAAAAGTCATTTCTCAAATATACACACCGCGTCTCGTATTTTTTCCCCCCCTGCAATTTATGTCCCCTTTAATATCCATTACAATTGTCAATTTAACAAACGTGTTACAATTGAAATAATATTCGACACAGTAATTACTGTTTATTAACGATTAACACACAGGCTGTATCGTTATATTTCTTTCTTTCAATTTACGATCGGTCAAATTTTCATTCTGCCTTTCGCTGCGTCGAATTTTTCAACTATCGCCTGAAAATGACGTTAATTAATTAAACGCAAACGTTAAGCCATGAAAGAGGTGGTTCGTTCATTTGCAAAAGCGAGCTCCTTTTTCTTTTTTTATTTTTCTAAAGAGACACGAAATATCTGTAGCATCAAAGGTTATTAATCGGAAAAAAAAAAAAGAAACGAGATGAGAAAAGAATGAAAAATCCTGAACTCTCTGGCACCGTATCGAAAATATTCCATTTAATTTGTGAAATTAACGAGCTTGCATTCGTATCGAGATTTTGAACTTAGTTTGACGGCGAAATAACCGTGTTAAAATAAAATTCGGTTTAATTAAACGTCGATGCATTTTGAGTGTTTGATATTTTTACGATTAATTCATTGGCAGAGCAATGATGTTTATTTCTATACTTAAGATGATTTGGAATTTTTTGAAAAAAAAAAAAAACATTGCTAACTAGGTACTTTTTATTTCTGTTGCAGATATTCACACGCTTTGGCAAAGTCCTGAAGATCGTCACCTTCACAAAGAACAGTAAGTGCCATTTTGTACATATCAGAATTTAGGGTAATACATCTTGAGTATAACAGGAAATAATTTGCAAAAAGAAATTTAAAAAGAAAAGCTTGTTGACTGTGTAATAATTATTTCGATAATTCAACGAATTCTGGAATTTTTTAATTTCGTAGTTTAATAAGATATCATTAATCTCTGTTTTATGATATTAATATTAGTTGTTAATATTTAAGAAGCAAAAATAGAATTCCAAAGCAGACTATCTAAATCATGAAATATTTAATCAATTAATATTTACATTAGAATAGGACTGGAATTATAAAAAAGTAAAGTATCTATTTTCCATTAAACGACTGTGATTAAATTTCACCTAAAATGTCAATTTCTGAAAGTAAATTCGTAAACAAAATTTTGTCAAATTTACGAAGAAAGAATTGTCCAAATTAATCTTAGAGAGAATTTTTCTTAAATTCTAAGTTAATCTTGAACGAAACGTAAACTGAATTTAATTTCGAGAAATTGGAGAAAACTTCAAAATGAAATTTCAAAAAAAGGAATCATCCAAGTCTCCGTTAAATTTAAAAATAAAACTCTTACTATTTTTCCATTAATTTTTCTCGAATTTCTCATCTGAAATAACGATCAAGAAGAAACAGGTCAATCTTCTTTAAACTTTCCAAGCTGAAAATCCATTATTCGCCAAATTTCCACGAAATTTTCTAGCGAAACGTCTTTTCCAACGATCCGTCGAAGCTTTCCGCGTTTACACCGAAAGAAACAAGTTGCAGGTAGAAAAGACTGGCGGGTTTCGAACGTCCCAGAGTGGCTCTTGTTTTCCTCCTCCAGTGCACTAGTTACTGGACCACCCTGTATAGACGGCACTCTTGCTGGCAGACATGCCACGGCACTTTAGTACTTCAGTGTACACTTGAAGTGTATCCTGGCCCGGCGACGTCGACGCCGTTAGTACTTTCGGTGTTGCACTCGAATGTAACGGGTGTCTGAAGAACACCTGTCTCTTCCAAACGCATCTGTACAATACACATTTGGTTTTCGAAGTGAAGTAAACAAAGGGTGAAATTCGAGGACCTCTTTGGTCCTGGTAACGTTCTACAGGTGCTGGTATAGTTAACCCTTTCGGGCATAGTTAACCCTTAATCGGTCACGTGAAATTTTCGTGCATAAACGATCGTGTATACCGTCTGTCAGACTGAAATTTTTAGGAACGTGTAGAAACGGGAAATTCTAATAAACTTTTTTCTTGAAACTCGATAGAAAATTGAATTTAAACATTTAATTTTTTGCATTGGTACGTTAATAGATTTAAATTACAGAAAGAATTTAGTGTGGCAAATTCACGAAATTTCAGCAGATTTACAAATTAAGTTATTTTCAAATTATTTGTAAGTTTGTTTTTGTTTATGATTGTTTATTGAGTAGTTTTTCATGGCTGTTTAATTGTTTTATGTAAGTAAACAATAAAGTGTCTTCGAAGGAATTTAGAGTATTTTTTTAGACCATAGTGCAGCTGAAATTTATGGAATCAAAACAGGCCAATTTTTATAATTACATTTTTGTATTGTAATTTTGATATTTTTAATCAAATGAAGATCACCGATTTGAAAATACGTCGTTTTTATATTAACCTACGAAATAGGCAATTTCACATGGTACAATTTACCATATTTTCCTCAAAAATACGAAAATAGTTAACCGTTACACCAACTATTTTTATTGCTCGGAAGTATTAGGTCATCCCATAAGAGTTCGTGCCGAATTTAAAAATTCAGATGATGTTTCCAACGAACGTTTACATTTGACAAAAAAAAAAAAACGTAAGCGCCTTCTCGTTGCACAACTTTTTTCTATTTTTTTAGTAATACCATTATGTCGTCGCTGTAGTATTTCCTTGAATTTTCCTTAAATTATTTTTCGTTCCCGGCACGAACTTATGGAACGACCTAATATTTGAGTTTACTGGTTACGTTCATAGTTCTTTGTGAACGTATATGATCCCATCAATGAGCCCAAAGTTTTAATTACGATATATAAATTGCCAAGTTAAATTTACAAATTGACAAACATTTTAGAATTTAATTACCTAAATTAGTAAAAAAAATTCCTGAGCAATTGGAACAAACACAAATGGAGATAAAATTTGGAACTAACGAGTAGAGTAATATGTAGTATAAAACAGGTAAAGGAGGTGTAAAGAAAGGTATAGTTAATTGTGGGTGAACAGTGTATGTGTGATGTGAAATAATAACAATTATAATGGATAGTGATAGTGCATTTTGGATTTTTTTGTAGAAACTGTAGTATAATAATAATTATCGAAGATAGGATTAATAGCGATGCTTATGAAAATTCTAATCAAATCAGTGAAAAATTGCCTATTTTTCAATTTCTGTTTCTTTTTAAAAAGTTTTCATTTCAGAATAAAATAAGAAACCTCAATTTTACGGTTAGACAGTAATACATTTATTTCTGTTTACGTACGGTGTAGCATAGGAACAACAATTATTTCGATCGGTAATATTTATTTGTTTATTTCCACGGATGTGCAAACATTTGCCTGCGAAATAACATATAAAGCGTAGACATAATATCAATATTTGCAAAGAAACAGAAAAGATAAACGAGAAAATTACACATTGTATGCAAACAGAAAATTTCTGGTTACGGTAAAAAACAAATTCTTCCACCTTTCAATTTTTCTTGTAATTTTCTATCCATTAATTGTTAAATTTCAATTTCATTCACCGTTAAAAATTCCATCGAGGCTGGTATTTCTAGAAATATCGAAGAAGGATGTCTTCTGCACACCCGTTAGGCGAAAGAAGGCCGCTCCACCCGGGGCATAAATCCGTTACAAATTCATGCCGGTTCAGAGAGCAAAAGTCTCGAGTATTTTATTTTGCAACGCGACAACCTTTCCTCTTTTGCTCCTGAAATATTTGCGTGGGAGGCAATTATAAAAAACCAAATGGATTTTTCTCTTTGGGACGCCGATTCGGAGTTAATCAGGCTGGTTCTTTGTGTCTCTACTCTGTCGACAGACTTTTTCCCTTTTCGTTTTTATTTTCGTTTGCTGCCTCTTTTAGAACAGGAATTCGGTGGAAGAAAAATTCAAAGATGACAGTCCTTGGTGTATTAAAAAAATCAGTTTCAATTGCTCGATTAAATTCATCGGCGAAGCATTGCCGTTTGAATTCAAGTCATTCAATCTGGAAATTTTGAAGCACGCATACGCAAGTTTAAATTGGCCTGCGTTAGGCAAAACGCTTATAAAAACCATGAGAAAAATAGCAAAAGCTACTTAATTAAACGAACATTATCGACACATTTTCAACCCTTTCTGTGTTCCAATTCACCTTGAAATTTTCCGCATCGTAAAACTTACCCTAAGTACAGCATCGTTTGAATTTTCTCAGATTGACACATTTTTAATACCATTCTAACCGAATTTTATTCTCTCTAAATTTTTTACACAATTCACTCTCCCCTCAGTCATCCATAATTCGGGTCCAATAAATCCCAGGCAAAACCTCGATATCGAAATTACAATTCAACGCTTCTTGCGCCGATCGTAGCCTAATTGCCTCCCCCGGTATCGGGAACAAGAAAGAAAATTACATAATTACCAATATAACACGCAACGGAGGATTCCAACGACAGAAGGAAGAAGTATCCTCGCAGAGCAAGAAAAAAAAAAAGATAGAAGCTTAAAAAGAGAAGAAAGAAAAAACGATGTCGATATCGTGGTTCTTGGGCGACAATTGGCCGAAAGACGTTCTCTGAATGGACGCTCGATCGAACAAAAGCTGAATGTTGTCCACGAACTGAAAGGGGCACGGGATTTTCAAAGAACCTGCACATTGGGACAAATAGCGGTTGATTGGCGAAATCACGGAGGCACGGTTCCTAAATTAAAGCGAACGCGAGCTCAGTGTCCAATTAAAGTTTCATTCGGTCAAGTGGGTACTCGTTCGTTCGATTTCCATACCCTTCTTTTTTTCTCTCTCTTCCATTTTTCTTTCTCTGCTTCGTTCTCTTGCCTCTCCTTTCCCCTTCTGTTCCCTCCTATTTTTCCCCTCGTTCGCGAGAGCGATCTTGGACAATCGGGAATTTTGTCGTGTCGAGTGCTATTTGTTTCTGTTTCTTGAGGAACTTGGAGGAGGGTTGGATGAGATATGTGTTTAATTGTGAAAACGTAGGAATGGATGAGATAGTTTAGATAGGAACTGGGATCTGGAGGCTGGGAGTTAGAAGTTTGGAAATGGAATATTAGAAATCTGGAGACTGGGAGTTTGGAGGCTTGCAACTTTGAGAATTGGATGGTTGTGAAGTTTACAGCCTTGGAGAATTTGGAAATTGGGAGTTTAGGGATTGGGACTTTCTGAATTGGGAATTTATTATGTGGAAGCCTGGGAATTGGAAATGTAACAAGTGCGAGCTCGAAGGCTCAGGATTTTGGGAGTTAGATAATAGAAAATTGTGATTCTTGAGAATTGGAACTTGGGGGATAGGAAATATTGGAATTGAATGAATCGCAAACTTTCGAATTGGAACTTAACATCGGCTATAACTCGAAGAATCAGAACTCTACTGAAAAAAAAAACTTTCTGCTTCCACCACGAGTAATTACAAATTTAGCAATATCGAAGCTCGCGGTGAGCGAGCTGAGGCAAATTGGAAATTCAATAATTGAAATCGATTAAAATTCAATTTCTCCGGACATACACAGCGCACAGATGAAACGTCCAAAGCATAAGTGTTCGAATCCACGAGCTCCCTTCCTTCGCTCGTCAAACAAAACTGGAAAGAAAGGAAGGAAAGCAAGACATGAGATTGAATTCCAGAAGTAAGGCACTTGGTGCTCCTGTTTCTCGACGTTGCAAGCTCGCCGCTTCGAATTAAAAACATATGCACGGCCCTCCTTCTCCTCTTTTCTCCGCTCGGCGAGCTCTTTTCCACGGAAGAGGGCCCCGGGCGACTCGGAGATTCCTATTTTTCATTTCATTTCGTTTGAAACGCGCTTCTGGAACGGGTTCCGGCTGTGAACAGCCGCTTCCTCCCTCTCTCTGTTTTCGATTCGAAAATTAAATAACCTCGCCCACCGGTCTCTAGCCTCTTTGTTCCCCGTGACGTGTTCTAACGAAGGAACACGTTATTCCGCGTGCGTTTGTTGGACGTGTGTACGTGAATCGAGGTATCAAACGGTGTTTGATCCTCCGATATTCTCTGGACGGGGCGTTCAGTTTTTTCCCAATTTTTCTGTTGAATTTTCGGTGGTTTGGGAAAAACTTTTATGCGGTTGGAAATTATGAAAAATTCTGAAAATTCTCGACGACAGAATGTTTATTAAGGATTTATTAATTTCACGTGACTATTCTTTACTCTTTCATTTGATGATAATTTTTTTTAAATATGTGAATACAAAGTGCAGTTGTCTTTGTCAATAAATGGAATTCACGATATTTCCATTTTAAATGGAAATTGTTACACGTTTTTTACTTCGGAGAAATACCCAACAATTTGGAAACGAAATTAATAAAAACAAATTTGTGATATTTCCATTTTAAATGGAAATTGTTACACGTCATTTCCTTCGAAGGAATACCGAACAATTGTTTCAAATTTCTGATTCCTGGAATACGAAATTGAAAACACATTTATTATAAAAAATGAGGGGTAGTAGAAAGTAAAATAATTTTGATGTACGTGGAACCAGATTGACTGTCGAAAATATTCATAAAATCCGCACCGTTCCATTAAAAGTGTGCTTCAAAAAATCGCCTGGTACAAAATAATCAACAGTATCGATCATCATCCCCCTCTCGAAAAAGGAAAAAAAGGAAACGTCGATCACTTGCAGCACGCATCTGTTTAAGCAGAATAAAATAAAAAGTTCAACAGGGCGTATACATGCAGCGCGGAATAATCGTCGTCGATTTTCGAATATTTATAACGTTAATGTCGCCTTTCGTCTGCATAAAAAACACGCTGTCGGACGTTTTATTAGTCATATAATGGGACAACAGGATCGAGTTTATCGCCGGCAGCAACGTTATTCAATTTCCATCGTTATTTGATCGCGGGACCAGTGGTAGGCGTGGTGGAAGGGATGAATAATAAAAATTCTGCCCCACGGAGGAAAAAATCACCGGTGTCACTACATATTATCGCGAATTCAAAGCGAAAGAGTGAGAGAGAGAGAGAGAGAGGAGTGAATGGGTGAGTAAACGGGAGCGGAAGTGTGTAAGTGAATTCATGAGTAAATGAGCGAAGGAGCGAGAGAGAGATTCTCTTTATTTCCATTTAATTTGGGCTTTATTTAATTTTCAGCGTGAGAACGGCGTCGAGTTTCGAATATCGAACGATAATCCTCGTTTCACTCCGCCCTTTTTCTCCCTTTTTTTTTTCCAGTGATTTCGCTCTGTTGTACGATAAAAATCCGACAATAAAATTTTCATTTCAGCTGTTGCGGAATGGTCAAGTTGAAATTGAAATTGAACAAATGACGATTTGAGAATCGTCACGTTCTATTGCGGCACATAGTATATAATATTGTTAAATGTAAACATTGGAACGATTTATGTAAACAAATCTAACACATACTTTTCCTTGTGTTTTCAGGTACCTTCCAGGCACTAATACAGTACGCGGACATGCTGTCAGCGCAAACAGCCAAACTCGTGAGTATCCACTTAAACTTTTCCTCGAAACACATACGAGAATTCTCCTCGCCGGTGTCCCTTCGGTTTTTCCCCCCATTTCTTCTTCGTTTCTCGCGTCTGGAGACCCGTGTTTCTCGTGTACCACCGTTTATCCTCGTCCTCCCGTGGGACAGATCGAAATTTTTCGTGGAATACTGGCTGAGGCAACGTGCTCTGCCATCCATTAGAGATTCCATATGCCATGCCGGGAATAATGCAAATTTTAATCGCTCCCCTTCCCACTGGATCTACCTGGTTTTTATTAACCAGACAGATTATGTATTTTTGTCTATTTTTCTCAAGTCGAAAAACTCAAGTCGTTTGGTCCAATTTAAAAGAAAGTCGTAACGTTCCAAATAGTGTCCGAATATTAGTGAGAGTCACTGTACGTATACAGGGTGTCTCAGCTGATTTTGACGAAATGAAATTTAAACGGTGTCGAAGGGGGCATATTCTGGTGTTATTAATTCTTTTATGAGTAGAAAAATTTCACTTTCGTCTGAAACATACCGACTAAAAAATCGCTGAATATTTCGTTAACGCCGCGATCGATTCAGACAGTTTAAAAACCGGTAAATTAATTCTTTCATTTTTTTTTTTTTTTTTTTTTTTTGTTTTTACTTTTTGACGAGTTATTCGATGGCAAAGTTGGACACGCGTGTGTAGCAAATCCGGGTACTTGGAGCTTATCTGGCTCGCTGCTTTTTTCGTGGCTTTTGTACGAACACGTATTACTGAATGATTTGAATTCTGCATAGAAACTACCCGGAAAAACGCCCGAGCTGTTT